CTCTCCTCCCCTGTCTTCCCCCCTCCTCTCTCCTCCTCTGAGTTCTCTGTTGTCCATCTCTCCTGATGACTATTGGCTCTGGCCTGTGACCATCTTCTGCTGTCTGTCCTCCTCTGTCATGTGCTTTCCCAACTCCTGGAACCCAGCACCCACTTGGGAAGTGGGGTTCATACTCACATTTTGACCTCTGAGGGCTGGGGTGCTACTGTCCACATGGAGACTTGGGTCTGAGGAGGGCACCCTCTGTGTCGGGCATCTGGGAGCTGGGAGGGTGTTTTTCTTTTTTTGACTTGAAAAGTCTCCAAGGCCAGTGCTGACTCCGAGCTTGGAGCGCCCTGCGGCTGCAGGAGGAGGCTCCCTGCCACTCCCCCAGCCAGAGCAGCTGCCGGGCTGCTCCCCAACCACCTGGGTGACAGTGCAGCGCCTAGCTCAGTGAGCCACCAGGGCGCCTTCTCTCACACTCGCTTCCAGGGCCCTTCTCCCATCGCGCACCCAGAGGCCAGGGACCACACAAGGCAACTGTCCACCTCCAGTGGCCTGGGGTCAGCAGACACTGGATCCCCCTGGGCCTCGGCTTTGCGGCTGAGGAGAGGTGGTGCTGTGTTCTCGTCCTGGCCCCGTCCACTGTCGTCCTCTCAGGCTGGTCCCCAGGTCCTTTAAGCCGGGCCTTCGTCCCTCATCCCTGTAGCCACCCACAGCCCACCTGTCACTGGACTTCCTACGCCCCTGACTGTGTGACAGCCACCTCCTCTGTCCGCTACATTGTAACTGATTTTCCTTCTCAAAGATGGATGGAGATCTTTAACATTAAGCTTTGCTAGTTTATGGTGTGAATAAATCTTTCCTTTCTCCCCCCCCACCCCGAACAAGAGCGGGCTGTTTTGGGAACCCTTATACATCGTAAGACAGAGGTTTCTAGTCAATTCTTTCTTTTCATTTTGTATTGAGCCTGAATTTGCATATGCCAAGTGGTAGCCTCTAACAGCCCCATTCTATGCACTGGACAGTTGTTGGCTGCTTTTCAGTTTTTAAATGATCTTTTTTTTCCTTCCCTCTATTTTCCAGATTTCTGGAATCTTCCTTACCAATCAGATTAAGTGGGTTGGATGTCAGGGAAGCCGACCAGAACTGAGGGGTTACCCGTGTGGCCTCTGGAAACTGTTCCACACGCTGACGGTCCAGGCAGGGACTCACCCAGAAGTGCTGGCTGGCTCAGGTAAGGCTGGCCAGGTGTGTGTGCCCCGTGTGTGTTCAGGCACCACGTGGGGAAACCCAGGCTAGTTTGGTTTCCTGCCACACAAGGGAGTAAGTATCTCCAGGAACCTCAAATCAGAGAGGCCTTCTCCAAAGATGTGGCCAGTGCAGTCCTGGCCCCGTCTCAGCCTACACCTACAGAAAACGGCTGCTGTCCCCTCTGGTTAGAACACAGCAGCCATGTCCTTGAGGGCACGTTGGGTAACACAGCCCAGCATGCCACACGAAGCCTGCTCCCCAGCCCCCTGCTCCATGTCACACCTGGGGCTGCAGCCACAGTGCTGTGGGGCCTGGGGACATGCCCAGGACTCCACTCGGGAAGTATTCCAGGCCCAGGAGCTGTGGGCAGTGCCTTGCCCAGCTCCTCCTCTGTTTCAAGTTCATTGCTATTTATAAGAAGCTTCAGTCTTTCCACTGTGTCCAGAGTCTTTCTAAGTGTAAACCGGTTTCCTCTCCTGCATACTAACACCAGCATCATGACAGTCCCATGCTCACGCTGTGGGCTGCCCCTGGGCTGGGCTTGGCTGGGCTTCTCTTGCTGCTGTTCCCTGGCTGACGCGGTCCGGGGCCTCGGGTGGGCAGCCAGCCTGGGCCTCTGCGTGGCCGCACCTCCTTCAGGAAGGTCACAGGCCCCCCCAGTGCCACATCCTGTGGTCAGAACCAGTGTCAAGTTCAGATGCATGAGGAGGTGAGCGGATTCCTCAGTCACAGAGCAAGCAGCGTCTGAGGGTGGGACGAGCTGGGGCGGCCTGGGGAGCCATCACTGCCCCGTGAGCTTCCCAGTAGCCTGTGGGCACAGGGCAGCCTCAAGCTCAGAAACCGTACAGAAAAGGGAAGAGCATAATTTTCAGGTAGATCCCCAGAAACTCCTGGGAAATGAACCGCACTGTCGGGACCCCCGTGGGGGGTCGTGCTTATTGAAAGGTCACCAGTTCAGATCCCTATGGCTTTTACCCTGTAAGAGCTACGTCCCCGAGTGGGAAGGAGGGTGGTGTCGTGATAGCCAGACTCTCTCCAGGCCAGTAGGCATCTGACACCTCCAGAGCCTCACCGTCTGCCCTGGTCATGTTTGTTATCTGCAGTCTCATGCTTAAATGGGCAAGTTACGCTGAGATGACGGTACGTGCTTCCGTTCTGGGTCCCCTACTGAGGACCTGCAGCTGGGTGAGCGCTGCGGAAGGGGCTGTCTGCAGCTGGGAAGTGAGCTGCTGTCAGCAGTACAGTGACTATGGAACCCAGGCCGCACCGATCCCGGTGGTGGTTCTGGGAAGAGTGGATTCCTCCGTCAGGCAGCAGCGAGCGCCTGGAAGGAAAAGCTGCAGAAGGGCTCCGCCCAGTCTCCGGCCAGGTAGTGCTGGAACGGAGGAGGGTGGCCTTTCGGTTCACAGTGCCAGAACCACAGCCACTCGCAGGGAGTTCAGCCAGCCCTGTGCCAGGACGGACAGAGGACACGAGAAGACGGTCCACCAGGGAGGAAGTTCTGGTGGCCAGCAGACTCATGAAGAAATGCCACTTGTTTTCATGTACTGTCAAGTTGTCTTCGACTTGTAGCGACACTGCACGATCGCTCTGAATCCTGGACCTGTCCTGTCTGCGACCCACCTGCCCGCATTACCCCAGTGACTGTGTCAGTCCATCTCGGTCAGGATTCTCCTCTCCTGCGCTGTCCCTCCACCTTTCCAAGCATGATGCCCTTCTCCAAGGACTGGTCCCTCCTGGCAACAAGCCCAAAGTATGTGAGACGGAGCCTCAGATCAAAACCATATATCACCCCAGCAACAGTAGCAGAGTTAATTGGACAGTAAACTCCAAGTGCTGATGCGAATGCGGAGAGTGGAGCTCTCGAACACTGCTGCTGAGACCGAGGCGGGGCGACCACTGTGGACAGCAGACAATGCTACCTTAAAAAGCGGAGAACAGACGTACTGTTTGATGAAGCTACCTCACTCCATGTCTGTGTCCGGCACAGCGGAGTGCTGTGCGGAGTGCGGTGTACCACTGAGAACAGTCAGGCATCCTGACCGGTGCTGCGTGGATGCATCTGAAGGAAATAAAGCTGAGTGGAAAAAGTCAGTTCAAAAGGACTAGTACTATCTAAGACCACTGTTAGAAAGAGCTAACGGTGCACAGGCAGAATTGTTCCTCGATGGTTACCGGGAACGGGAAGGGAGAGAGGGCAGGGAAACCTTAGTATAGACGCTAGACTGTGTAGACTTGGGAAGAGACGATGGCTGGGAAGGTGGAGAGTCCGTGGATCAACACTGACTAGGGGGGCTTGAGCACAATGACGATGGTGACGTGGGGCAGGAGAGGTCACATCTGTTCACAGGGTCCCTATAACTCGTAGCCCACTCTCTACAGCAGCGAACGGCCGCAGACACGTGTGACCAGCACTCAAGGGCAGTATGCAGCCAGGGAGGATCAGACGTTGTGGACGGTGTGATTAATGTCATGAACGTGTGTCTGTGTCATCGAATGGAGACAATGGGCTTTGTCACTCTTCACTCAAATTATAATTTCCAAGAGAAAATATTCAGACCCAGATCTTAGACCCGCCCCAGACATTAACTCAAGGGCTATCTCAGACTTCAGTGCCAGAGAGACCATCCAACTCTTCAGCAGGAACAGGGGAGAAGCCTCGGGACCCCAGGCTGGCGGGAGCTTTCCCTCCAACACCAGAGGTGTGTCTGTGAAAGATACCATCAGTCGGGATGATAAAGGCTTCCTTAGCCTTAAACTTTGTTCTTCTTTTAAAGAAATAACAAAAACAAGCCACAGGTAGAGAATACCAGCAAAACGTGTCTGCTGAGGGACTTGTATATAAAACCTACAGGGACCTCCTACAGCTGCGCATGCCATTGAAACGTGGGGAGAGCTGAGACGCCGTCAGCAAAGACAGCAGACAGGTGGCCCGCAAGCACGTGGAGAGGCACTTGACGTCACGAGCCACCGAGTGGGGACACGCCACACAGCAGACAGGACCCCTACACCCCCCAGATGCCGGCCAGGGTGTGGAGCCCTGGGAACACTCGGTGGCAGGTGGGATACAGGATGGTGCTGCCGCCACAGAGAGGCCGTTGGGCCTTTACGAGGCTGCACACAGCCAGCATTCCATCCAGTAGCCCCACTTCGAGGGCTTTACCCAAGCGAGAGAACACATCCATAGAACAGCCAGCACACGTGACTGATTATAGCAGATCAGTCACAATTGCAAAACTTGGACGCATCCAAGATGCCCTTCAACAACCAGCTGGGTCGCCGGCACACTGCGGGCAGTGGGAGGTGATCCGAGATGGGCCCTCGGCGCGCACTCCTGCGGAGCAGCTGCTCTAGGGCTTGGGTGGGCTGGCTCCAGCGTGGTGGTCTAGAAAAGGCAGAGCTGAGGGACGGTGGATGGCACAGTGCAAGGTGGTCTGGAGGGGCACAGGATCTGACCTATCACCTCAGGGCTGGCTGGTCCTGTGCGTAAACATCACCGGAGTGCAGGGTGGTGACAGAGGAGACAGCAGGGGGCTTGTGGGAACCCTGTACCCTCAGGCCACTTCTGTAGCCTTGAAGCTCCTCTGATGAAGCACACAGTCTTTTAGAGGGAGACGTGAGGCAGCCCCCTGTCTTCCCTCCAGGGCCCAAGGAGTGTGTCTCCTGTGCAAAGGAACTGGGTCAGATGAGGCATGGATTATGTCCCGGGAGGTCCCTCTCCTTACCGGGCACTTAAACCCCATCGCCGGAAAGCCTGCCATGCAGGCCTCTAATCCTCCAGGTAGAGACCAGGATTCTTGTCCACTTTAGAGATTAGGGTGACTGTGGCCGCAGTTCAGCGGGGGCTGTGGAAAGGAGATTACCCAGTGTTGAGTGGCAGCTGTTAGCAGGGTCCCAGAGAGGGACACTGACACCCCCGGCTAATGGCAAGTGGCATGTCCTCCATGTACCCCTTCGCATGTGGTCACACGGCTCTCCCAACGACCATGGTCCCTCCTGCCTCAGGAGCTGATCCCAGCCGCCCCGAGAGACCCATCCATGTCCCCATGGGCTCTGGCCGGCTGTCCACCCCCCCGTGCTGCCCTGCACTGATGGGGGTGGGGGCGTCTCCATGGAAGACCCCAGGACCTGATGCTGATTAAGGCACTTCAGCCTTCTCAAAAGCTTGTCTTTGTTGGATTTTTTTTCCAATTATTTTGCTGCATTTCTTTAATGCTATGTCTAATCTGTTTTAATCTCACGCGTCTCTTCTTTGTACGTTCACTCAATCCCCGATTAGATGTCTGGACAGGCCGCCCCGCGTCTCCACGTCGCGGTTTAATACCGACAGCTGCCCTGACAGTGCCCTGGATGGTCTCCCTCAGGTGCCATGCAGGGCCCAGTCCCCCTTGCATCCTTCCCTGCACTGTGTCCTCATGTGAACAGTTAGCCTTCCAGAGATGCCCCCAGGGCTGCTGCTCCTTGCCTCCTGAGGGACACCGGGGTGGCCTGGCCACTGCTGCTGCTGTCTCCACCCACAGAAGCCAGTCAGACTTGGGTTTATCAAAACTCAAAGCAGAAGCACTGCAGGGTGGTGGGCAGATGGATACAATGGCCAGGCCAGGAGCCTGCACCCTCAGGCCATGGCAGACCCCTTGGCCAGCCACGCGGGGGGGCGGGCTTGCTGACAGGGCACTGATCTATCCACTCTCTGCAGGTCTCCAGGGTGCCCCCTACACCGTACTGCAGACCCTCAGGGCTTACGTGCACAGGTTCTTTGGCTGCAGGGAGTGCAGGGAGCACTTTGAGGTGATGGCGCAGGAGTCCCTGGACACAGTCAAGACCCACGACCAGGCGATCCTCTGGCTCTGGCGGAAACACAACGTGGTGAACAGCCGCCTGGCAGGTGAGCGAGCTGCACCAGGCTGCAGTGCGGCACGGTGGGCTCCATGTGCTGGGGGCATGGGCCAGCTGCTCGGCCCGGCAGGTTCCCGGGGAAGGTGTCAGAACACGTGGCTGTCCCAGGCCCAGCGTCCACCCAGCCCTCATGGAACGTCCTGGCCTCGCCCCACCCAGACCAGAACTGGCTCCCTGGGGGCCTGGCCGATCACTCCACTGGGGGTCTTCACTGTCCTTAGAGTCACTCGAACCAAATCCGTCCGTGATTTTGTTCAAAAGAGTAAGTAGGCCACATGTCTTTTCTTTGAGTTAAGTAATTTAAACTATTCGAAAATCAGTGACAGATTAAAATTAGGCTTAAAATAATTCCACTAGGAAATAAGTCTTAATAGAGATGAATAGAAAATACCACTAAACTGGTGGTTTTTATTTAATCCACTGCATTATGGGACATATTATGGCTGGAGCACTAAGAGAAATTGGTTTGTCTGCACAGCCAGTGTGCTGGCCAGGCCACGTGCCACCTCTGCAGTGGCTGCCTTGTGAGGTGCTACCAGGGCGACCCCAACAAGAGCCACCTCGGCCTCTTCCGTGCCCCCCAGCTTCCCGCCCTCCACCCTCCTGCCGCCCTTCCTATCCCTGCTTCCCATAGCGGTCCACATACCGACAGAGCTGGTGCAGCCAGGCCAGCCACCCTGTGGTCCCACCCCCAGCCCTGTCAGCCTAACTGACTGCCACCCCAGGAATCATGCCTGTTCCAGGGGACCCGCAGTCTCCTCAGGGTAAGACCACCCTTCCCCAGCCCCCAGGCAGCAAAGAGCCTATGGCCTTTATAGACCGGCAAGGTGACTCCAGGCCCGTTGGCAACAGGGACTTGGGCTTTTCACAGCTCTCTCAAGCCCTCGATGCACACGTGGGACTCATTTGAGCGATGTGCTTCACACGTGAGGGACACCTGTGTGTCAGTGAGGACTCTGGGTGGGTGGCTGTCAGGCAGGCGCAGGCCTCCACACACCGGGCACGGTAGAGCTCTGACAGCAGCCCGTCAGGCTGGGAATGACAGCTCAAGGAGGGTAATTGTTCTGCTTTTCTAAGGACAGTTTAGCTGGTGGTGTTTGGGGTTGTCAAGTTGAGTACAGCTCATCGCGACCCTGAGAAGCGCAGGTTTGGCCCTGTCCTGCCCTGCGAACCCTCACCGTCACTGACACACTCCAGCACTTAGCTGCAGTCACTGCGTCAGTCAGTTCCCCCTCCTTCAGGGTCCCCCAACTTTCACATGAAGCAGCTGGAAACCGTGGCTTAGAGGAGGCACACCTGAGTCTCCACACTAACGCCCTTGTCCAGAGACTCTCTGGAGAAGCTCTTGACCGCAGGTTTCCCTAACGCAGCCTTTTCGGTTCCTGCGTACCTAGGATGTTGACTGGATCCAGGTAAGATGGGATGGTCATCAGTGTCCATCTGTCATGAAGCCCCGTGGTGATCGTCTCCTCCGGCAGCTAGGTTCTTGATGTTCCCGTCTTCATGTAGCCCCGAGTGTCTCCGCATTCGATGCCACGTCCTCCTTCCTGCAGTAACAGTAACTCCCGACAGTTTGCTTGCGTGCGGGCTGACGGGTACAGAGAAGGACACCACCGAGGAAGGATGCAACCGCAGCCGCCTTCATGGTTCTCAGCATACAGGCCTGTGCGCACAGCCGCTCGGTGTCTGGTGCGCAGGATCCTTGTAAGCAGTGACGTGTCCTGGAGGCCATGTCCTCTGGGAGTGGGGCACCCTCCTGAGGGTCGTCCACCTGGCAGGTGGCGACTGGGCCACCTCTGTGACGCGGTTTAGCCAAGAAGGCTGTTGGTGTTGTGTACCGTTGAGCGGAGTGGGTTGTGAGAGGCAGCAGATCTCATGGGAGGAGATTGCTGGCAGCGCAGCCCCCCCCGCCGCGGGCACTGGCCGCTGTTTTTCGTGGTTTAGCTGAAGGAGAGGTGATTGACTGCTCTTCTGGTCATGGGTTCGTGGGGTTCTGGCTCCGCGTTCTCACATCTCGTGTGGCCTGAAGGCACTGGGCAGACATGTGCCGAGCTCTGGGGCACTTCACTGCACATCGACGGGGACAGATGGGAGACCACTGTCCCACGTGTCAGGCATTGTAGTGGTCACTCGGGCTGTGGTCAGTACCTGGCAGTAGAACCTGAGCTGGCTGACGTCCTGTGGACTTGCGTGTGGCAGGGCGATGTCTGTGACGCACGTGGTGTGCATGTACGTCCAGCACCCAGGGGATGGGCAGGAAGCCTTGGTTTTCCCTCCATGAGCACGGGTCACTTCCGGGTAATTCTCAGCTGACAGTGATCACATTGGTGACAGACACAGTAGAAGCCTCTGGGGTGAGGAAGACACATGGCCTTTGGCCTGAGGTGCCCTTTAAAGGACGGAGACAGTCTAAGGGAGGGATGTCAGGTGGGGCCCTGGGTCAAAGGCCCTGAGGTTGGGACCTGGGGTGCGTTTGGAGAGCTGAGCTTCCTGCCAGACTGCTAAGGGTTGGCAGGTGAATGGGATGGTCAATGGGCACACCTTCCCTTTACCCTAAAAGAAGAGGCAGTGTGTGCTTTGGGGGGGGAGGAGCCTCCGGAGGAAGAGCGGGAGAGCCCACCCAGACGACCTCAGGTTATCAGGGCTGGCGTGGCCGGGCCAGGAGGGTGGCCATGTGGGCAGCACCAGCGCTGAACGAGCCAGGCAGACTGGCAGCTCTCAGACTTAGTCCCTTTTTCCAGGCCATCTGAGTGAGGACCCCAGGTTCCCCAAGGCCCCGTGGCCCACCCCAGACCTCTGCCCTGCTTGCCACGAGGAAGTCAAGGGCCTAGCCAGCTGGAACGAGGGCCAGGTGCTCGCCTTTCTCAAGCAGCACTACAGCCGTGCCAACCTTCTGGACACGTACTCAGCAGACGTTGGGGGTCCTGGTGAAGAGGGAGAGAAGGTCCCCTCTCCCCTGCAGAAGTCCTCCAGCAGCCAGCAACCCGGACTTCTCCAGCCACAAGACACCCAGGGTCGCCAACCTCATCTATCAGAGAATGGACTGGACGGCAGGGCCCACCTGGAGCCTGGCACCACGGTGCCCTTGCTGGGGGCTGGGTTCTCCAGCCTGGACATGAGCCTCTGTATCCTCCTCTATGTGGCCTCATCCCTGTTCCTCATGGTCATGTACTTCTTCTTCCGCATGAGGTCCAAGCGGTGGAAGGTCAAGTACTACCCCCCAGTCTAGACCCTGGAGACCACCATCCATCCACCCTCCTCTGACTCAGCATCAGAGTTCACCCTCCCCTGCTGAGTGTGCACCCCTTGGGAATGTGGGTGTTGTGAGAGCCCAGCACGGTGAGCTTTCTCTGCTGGCCTTTCCAGATGTCCACGAGAGCCCCGAGGACAAGGACATGTGACCAGACTCCTGTTTTCAGCTCAGTTCACAGCAAGGCAGGTTGGAGGGCGGGGCTCCATCTGCAGATCTTGGGGCCCCAAAGGCTGGCTGTGCGCTGTGTGCATGGCCCTCATCCCCCTGCCTTCCCTGCCCCGTCCTGTACGTAGGACCACTTCTCAGCACTGAGTTCTGCTGGCATCTGGATGCCGGCCCGGGCAGCCCAGCCAGGGAACAGAATGCTGCTTCATGTCACCTAGTGTGAGATGTTACTGCGTGGGGGTGCAGGTGCTGGAAGGACACCCTCTACTCATTGCCCGTGTGTCCAGAAGGGGGTCAAGCGGCTGGCACGCACTCCCCTAATCCCTGTGGGAGGGGTGAGCAAGGCTGGACTCCAGGGTCATCAGACACCTGACCAGGCGCTGACAAGTCCCACTCTACAGAGGTTAGGACAGAAGGACAAGCTAGGAGGCAGACCTCTCAAAGCGGGACCCCTCAGAGGAGGTCCGGCTTGGGCGGTTGGACCTCGTTTCTCCACCACTTCATGTGAATTGTGCATTTCAAGGCCGAAAACAGGACATGAATAGAAGCCTGAAAGGCTAACCTGGAGGCCAGCCCCGCACGCGTGTGTGTGTGCACGCGCGTGCTCACCTCCAGCCCCGTGTGAGTGTGTGTACACCTGCACGTGCTCTGTTGCATGGCGTGTTGGTTTTCCAACTTTTGTTCAGACACGTTCCCTAATTAAAGCTGATCATGGGGGCACAACTATGAACCTGGCATGAGGGTGTGGCTGCCACCTCCTGGGGACACCCCCAGCCTCCACCATCACTGTCCCCATCCCGGGAGGGAGTCAGGAGGGTGGGTCTGAGCGCTGGACCTTCAGGGACTGCATAGGAACGTTGACCTTTCACCTCAAGATGGGTCTCTTCTTAGCATTTTTTAAGCTCTTTGAAGCTGCTGTTTTTAAAAGGAGCTTCCCTCCCTAGTTGGGTGCAGTGGTGTGAGGAGAAGCAGCCACCCCAGGGCGCCCCATAGGCTTCCTCAGCTGCCTTGCGCCCGGCCCCAGGCTCTCCCCTGAGCAGTGGCACCAGCAGGCTGCCCAGTGTGCCGTGGTTTGGCCTTGACAGACTTTGTCTGATGTTCAAGTTGGACATTCCATTTCACAAGGATATTGCAGTTTGAGGTCACCTTTTCAGAGTGACATTTTTGTAACTTCCTGGAGAGCAGACTGGGGGAATCCTCTGAGACCACAGGGCCCCCACCACACCCTGGCCACAAGCAGGGACGTGACCTGGTGCTGATGGAGCTGTGGGGGTGTGATCCCAGACCCATACAGAGGCCGCCTCTCAGAAAGCGTTCAGATGGGTTTTCTAAAGGTATTGAAACCAGTGAGTGTAATCATTCTGTAACTTAAATATTTATTTTTTAATGGGGTAATTTTGATTATAAAAACTAATTGGCATGGAGATGTCAATTAGATTTATTACCTGTGAGGAAAGTGAACATTTTGTATTTAAACATTACAATGTGCACATTTTTAAAATAAACCTGACCTTTGAATAAATATTTCTTTGGGGAGTGAACTAAGTCTGTCTGTCAGGGCTGGGGAGGGAGAGTTGCAGACTGGAACCTTCTAGAGTTCATGGACATTGTAAATGGAGTTTCTTTTGTTAAACCAGAAGCTTTTTGGCAGACAGCCCAGGGTCAGATGTAAAGCACGTTGGTCCCCTGACAGCAGCAGGCTACCACCCTTGGGAGTCAGGGCACTTGGGGGAGGAGGAGGGGGCAGTGCGGCGTGTCCCATGCTATGGAGGCTCTGGTCCCGTCCCCCAGGTGACGCTGTCAGCCTGTTGTAAACATTTCTGGCTGCCCCTCGGATGAAGGTGCCTGAGCCCACCCAGCAGGGCTTTGGCCAAGTGAGGAGGGAGCCCCCAGAGTTGGTGTCTCCAGCAGCAGGTCTGCGGGCTGCAGGTCCTGAGGACATCCCTTCCTGGCCTTTGGGAGGGGTCAGCTCCCTGCTCGCCCAAAACCTCCACCTGGTGACCAAGGCAGAGACCAGCATGGTGGCACTCAGGCGTCCAGGGTCTCCGGCCAGCCCCCTCAAGCTGAATGGGAGCTGCTGTTTGGAGGCAGTGGACCCGATGGCCCCTCGGGCTGAGCAGTGTGAGGTGATGGCAGCCTCGAGGGTGTGGAAAGTTCCAGGCCACAGCAGGATCTTGGCGGGGGGGTAGCTTCTGTTGAGTCCAGAGGGCTGCCTGCTAGGTCTGCTTGCTGCTAAGAGGTGGCTGCTGGTGGCGGGGCAGCGAGACAGCGTGGTGGGAGCCAGGAGAGAGCTGGGACAGGGTGCAGGGCTGGGGAGGAGGTGGGGGTGGGGTGCTGGGCTGAGGAGGAGGGGGTGGGGAGATGGGGCGGAGGAAGAGGAGGCTGGAGCTGAGAAGGGGTGGGGGACCAAGTCGTAGGTAAGGAGTAGGGTTGGGGACAGGGATGTGGTGGGAGGCGGCTTTGGAGGGGTTCTCAGAGAAGGGTGCAGGGGTCGTGAGAAGGGGACCCGGTGGGGAGGCACGGTCGGGGTGCTGAGGCTGAAGGGTGGGCTGCGGATGAACGACGGGGACTGGCAGAGCGAGCCGAGGAAGGATGCGAGCCCGGGGGAGAGCGGGGGTCCGAGGTAAGGGTAGGGCCGCGGGGTGG